TTTAATTCCGGCAATTGCCACAAACATGCCAGATTTTTGAAGTAAAGAGGACACTAATATGTCTGAGCTTTGTTTGATAGGTTACCGAACTCTCAGTCAGGACATTGAAGAAGGTATCTGTCAGGTTCTAGCTCGCATGTGGTTAGAATCTCAGCTTATTCACATAGCCAGGATCAATAATGTTGCCTCAACCTCATCGTCTTCTGCTTCTGCATCTTCAAAGCAAGGGACGAGGTCCCCATTTGAGAGGAAACTTGGTGAATTTTTCAAACATCAGATTGAATCAGATACATCACCAATCTATGGAAATGGTTTCAGGGCTGCTAATCTAGCGGTTCTTAAATATGGCCTGGGTAATACCTTGGACCACGTCCGAATGACGGGCAGCTTGCCGTATTGAACATTAGCTATACTTGAGAAGATTTGTTCAGATTTTTGTCAGAGCAAAACTTTGGCCACTTACAGGAATTTTTTTTCTGAATATAGTAGTAGTTCAGAGAAAGGATAAAATTCTTATACCTTGTAGATATCATCTATATTGATGTACATTGATGACAGAGACATTAATAGAAATCATTTTTGATCTTCCTCTTGCTCAGTTTCAAAACCTGACTTCTAACTTTATGCCTTGCTGAATTCAAGAGCCCTTTTCTTTCACCTGTGACAGATATTGAAACATTTATGCAATGGCAAAGACAGCCATCTTTCCTGAGTAAATTTACTCAGCAAAGAGTAGCTTTACTTTTAAGACCTATCAAAGAGTAGCTACTCTTTTAGTTTTACCTAATTTTAATTATTCTTTATAATCTCTTTTCGTGATCAGTTTTCGTAAAATCAAGTCAAGGGGGAACCAAATCAAGCTCTTGCGAAACGGGTTGAAATTTAAAACGATGTGATGGGCCTACTAGGCCTGAAGGCGCTGGGCTTCAAATGGTTAAGGAGGGCTGGAATTACGACATCTCCAAGACATTTAATTGGGCCTTGAGACACGGGGTCAAGTTAACATCTAAACTCACAAGCCTTACATCCCAGTACCGCAGAAAATCCTCTAAAGGCCCCATTACTGTCTCTGGGAATTTGCACGATCAAATAGTACCCATTGCCCTCCATACTGCATAATTCTAATGAAATTAAAAAAATATATATATGTAGAATTTCTAACACTACTAACTACGCAATTTGTAAAAACACTTACGATAACAGGCTTTATAGTACAATTAAAAAAAAAAAAAAACAGCAAACAAAGTTCAACATGTTCCCGCCCGGGGGGGAGTTTTTGGGTGGTGCGTGCGTGTGTTGGGGAATCATGGGAGCCTAGGACATCATTGTATGGAATTCATTGAAATCTAGAACTCCATTGCCATCAAGATCATAAGCTCGAATCATGGCTTCACATTCTTCCAAGGATTTTGGATCTCCAAGACGGTTCAAAACTAGTTGCAGTCCTTTAGGAGTGATGCATCCCGAGCCCTTGTCATCCTCAAACATCTCGAAGGCTTTCTTAACGTAATCATTAGCCTCGTCACCCTTGTTGTCCATTTCAATTAATTGAACAAAGTCTCCAAACTCTAACAAATTGTCTCCATCTTTATCGAACTCCAGAATCACCCTTTGAGCCTCGTCACGGGACATTGAATCACCGACAGAAGAGAAATATGCTCTAAGTTCCTCGACCGAAATCTTGCCATCTTTGTTATCATCAAAGTAGCTAAAAACTTGTCGAAGTTCATTTTCTTTGGTACTGGTGCTAGTTTTTGGTGAAGAATTGGCGGAGGAGGAAGAAGTGGTCGAAGATCTAGATTTTGAACGAAAACGAGGGAGGCTTAGCTTTAAAGTTTTGTTGGCGAACCATTTTGATGGTTTGGCAGCAATGGTGGTAGCTGTTGCCATTGTTTGGTGGATGACCTTTTGTTTTTGAGGGATAGTGTGTATAGATTCTGAAGCAAAAAAGTACTCGCTGTGTAATACAGATGAATAGGCACTTATGCTGAATGAATATCTCGTACAACAATTGTTTGTCGAGATATTCAAGCAAGTTGAGCGGAGAGGTACGGTCGGAAGGAAACTTGCAGAGAAATAACGTAGAAACAACTATAACAATAATGGCTGGCAGTCTTTAATGAAATTGCATGGCAACTTCGTAGTTGCTTGGATTGAAATTGGAGCTGACTTCACCTGAAACTGAAAATGGTAGTACTAGTAACTTTTCTCCCGGAAAGTTACTGGAAATTTTGGTACCCTTTTTAAGATTTTAACTTTCGTAAGGTTCTTCTTGCTGCATCTTCCGTGAAAGACCCCTGAAATTGTGGCAATAATTTGGTGTGCGGCTAACATTATGTGATGTTTATCCTTTTCCTTAATCTCTTCATTCCGTCTCAATCTATGATGTACTAAACAACAATTCTTTTGGGAAACCTCTGAGCAAGTTGGGCCACTAAAAACACATCAAATCAATTTGGGCTGTATCACACATTCATTCGTCAATGCTTACATGCATGACCGCTCAATTGATGGCCAACCGCACAGGCACAAACCAAACCTGCCGAATTGAACATGGCAAGAATAATTAAGTGTACCTGCACTATCTTGCTACATAGGCAGTGTTAGGCAAACACTATAGAGTATAGAAGCTTTTGCAATAGGTTCCGTAAAGTTGGTTAACGTTTTGACCTGCCTAACAACGCACTTTGCAGAATAAATTTTTCTATAGATGACGTTTTAAACACAAATAATTGGAGAAATCACTAATAGCTGTAACTTCAGTCTCGATCTCTACATATATTATAACTGTTCATCGTAATCGCATGCATGAGGAGCATAATTAGTAGCAGAGAAATTTATCAGAATTGTCTTCTATCTATGTCACGCTGTATGTGAAAGACAAGGATGCAGGAGGCTGCCGTACTATCTGCATTAGTTTCATTTGGTTTATATAATTATGGTTGCAAAATATTTCCATTGGGAGTTTAAAAAAGTTTCTAGTACCTTTCGATACCCAACTAACTATGAGCTTTTCTCATACTTTTTTTTAAATTTTTTTTGGATAAAACATCAAAATGTTATTAAATTTGTATTAATGGTAGAAATTACATCAGACATATGCATGCATAATAAATCTCAAAGAACAAATACTATAGATTTGAAAATTTGATAAAAAGAAAGATTTCGCCGTGAAACTCTAAACATATTCAAAGATAAAACACCGAGAACATCTATACATGTTCAATTGCCAACACCACATCTGCTAATTAACTATTTCAAGTTCTGATATTGTCGTGACAACTGACGAGATAGATATAAGAAATCCCAAATCTTAAAAAAAAAAAAAATCACATCCCACACAAACAATAGAAAAAAATGAACAAGCATCGACAATATTTACTTAACTGTCTATGCAAGTCTGCACATAAACCATGCCTTTTTGGGCTGCAGACAAATAAGTCCGCACGTATGTTAGTCTGCAAAATAGACCGTGCCCATCTTCTAAAATTTTTGAAAGTAATCAGCCAGTTATAAATGGGTACCCTGTCGAAATGACAACTATGACAAGTTTAGTGTTTTGGACTGGAGATTGGGTCATGGGTAAACGGCCCATGTTGCTTGTTTTGGGAAAAATTTTCACCACTATATCAAGAAAACAAATATAGAGTAATCCCCTTGTACGACGTGAACAAGCATTCCCAGTGAACTTGATGCAATGATTCTGTAACTATATAGTTCTCAATTTATACTGCATGTTGTTTTATTTCTTTTACTATCTAATTATGTATGGGAACTTAAAGGGTCAGTTTCCGAGTGTTCATATAATTTAGAATACGTTCAGGTTATGATGGCTTGTTCCAGCTATTGATCATATTACAAGTGTATATAGTCTTTGTTCGTTGGCTTTAAGAAGCGCCCTTCACCCTTTCTTTCCTTCCTTTTTTTTTTCCCCCCTTTTCCTTCAACCAAAAAAGTGCCCTTCACCATTCCAGCTAAGATATGGGCAATGGCAGTTTTAATGTAGTAGTGATTGGCTCATGAATCCATGTCTCAAAGGTATAATCTGTGGTAGAGTACTATTAATTCGCTAACATAAATAATTCCCACGATTGGAAGGGAGAAACCCTTGTTAGTACCAGCAACATATTTTAATTCCAAGCATCGATGTGCAAAACGGTAAGATTTTATATTAGGAATTTTGCATGGAAAGGGTCTGGAATTATTTTGTTGACAAAGGAAGCCAATGTCGTTACGCGAGAGTGCGCACCGGATGAATTTCGACTCATGCAATAACCTGTCAATCACACGAAAATGTAAAACGCATTAAATAACCTTTACGCGACAAACGGATGTTTCAGGAGAGGTATACCTCCCATCCCAAATGCAGAACAAAAGATCAAAGAACAATCACGGAAGCATTAAAGAACTACGGCTCATATCAATCCTGGTGACTCGTGCATGTAAATCCATCCATCCTATAGCTTAAGCCAACACCTGTCTCTCCGCAGAACCCAGAACTTGTGTCGACTTGAACTGCCAATGAACGATGGTGACATACGCCGATGAGCTTCAAAATTCCGCAACTCCGGTTCTAAAAGCAAATTAATTAATCCCCAGGCCCCTTGTGCTGTCATGATTCAGGAAAGCCAGCAAACATTAATTTGCCCGCTTGCACGCACAAAATTAAGACTGACTGAAGAGCGCCTTATCCTCAACCAGCCGGTTGATCTTTGGATAGCAACCTTTTCCTTCACTACCGTCCATAAAACTGCTGCTACGCACCTAACATCTAAATCACAATACATTCGAATGCAGCACTAAAAGAAACAGAAATGATGTCATCGCAAGTATCACAAATTGTGGATTTGGTAGGTGTAATTGTGGATTTGGTCCTTTTAATTTGGGGTGTTTCTCTAAGGGTATGGTTTTACTTGGGGTAACTTGCAATAATTGGCGCGTGCTACATCGTGCCCCGGCTAGTATAAATTTGCATAAGCTTTTTGTCGATCACCCTGGATAGCAACAAAATGAAGCCCTTAAAACTCTCTTACTGCCCGGTGGAGCAAAAACCATGTGTTAGATGGGTGGAGAAATACTTCAAGGACTGTCTCTGCAACCTCAAGGATGAAATCTCATTTGCTTTCGGAATAGCAAGTCTGGTCTGTTGGGCTGTAGCAGAAATTCCTCAGATCATCACCAACTTCAAGAGCAAATCTGCCGATGGAGTCTCCCTTGCATTTATCTCCACTTGGATTGTCGGGTACTTGCTTGTCCACGGTTACATGCAACGCAATAATTAATTAGTACCTTTCTAGTTTAAACTACTGTTCTGCTAATTATATGCCATAATTTATCCTCGTACAGAAATTTGGTTAAACTTTGTAAATCTGATGTACTGAAAAATCTTATATGCAGCGACGTGTTCAACCTCGTCGGTTGCATTCTGGAGCCAGCCACGGTACAGGGCTATGCATTATCTTTCTTTGGTTTTTTTTTTTCTGTTTAAAACATTTCTTGCTTCCCTCCAACTCGTATTATGTTATGGGTACACTGTACTATTGTCCAAAAAAAAAAAAAAATTTCAAAGGGGGTAAACAAAAAGTAGAGAAATGAAAGAAGACAAGAGGACTAGTGGCCGGGGAATACCGGCAAAGTCTTGTCTTTGATGATTGCGATGATGGCTTTCAAGAAATTCTACTAGCTTAATTTGTCATTGTAGATTTTAATGAACTACCTCTTATGTTTTTACCTTTTTGAGGGAAAATCTATCTCTTCTGTTTAAATTAGTGTAAATTTTTGGTTGACATAAGTGGAGACCACAATTATACCACGTGTTCCTAGAAGGATTGTTGAAGATATCATTTTTTTTTTGAAGGGCTAGCGATGTTACACTCTCACCAAAATTAACTTGACATTCGTCTATACCTATAGCAATGTTTGTATCAATTTCATCTTTACCTAATTATGGGTATTATTTTCTCACCGGAAATTTTGTTCTTTTTTTCTGCAGTTACCTACCCAGTTTTACACGGCAGTGGTAAAACTAATCTTACTCTTGCCCTTGAACATTACCACTTTTGGGGATATAACTTGCAAAGAACTATGTCCCTCGAGCATATATATTAGCAAGATATATCTTTAATCAACGGTTAATTTTCTTTGCAGTTGTACGCAGCAACGACAGTAGTACTGGCATTGCAATGTATATACTATGACCATATCATCCGGATATGGAAGGGCCGTAAAACCAAAGTAAATAAGGTAGCAGATAAAAACTGTACGCACTTTAATGTTTTCTTCTATATATGCATGTCCTCAGAATTAGTTTTAAGCCAGAATTGAAATTTTGAAAAGAAGAAAAAAACGCTTTTTCTAGTTCAAGGCCAATTCCCACCAACGAACCGAGCACAACCAGAGACATGATAGATATATAGCACTAGATATTAGTAATTAGATGAAGTATAGTACATAAAAAAATGAAAAAATAAATCTTTTATGTACTGTCAATCAGTCAATGTATACAGTAATATGTTTAGATGTATATCACATATATAAAGTTTAGTATTTAAATTCATGTTAAAATGATGTGACATGCATGTTATAAATCTATTATAAGTATATACGCTGACAATATAGGAAAAAATAATCAAAAAAGAAATTTTTAACAAAGTATATGTATCTTTCTTTCCAGGACGATAACGAGAGGAGTGCTTTAAAACAAAATCTACATGATCGAAGTGGTAGAGATAGAAGAAATGCTCCGATTGAGGTACCTCGTCGGAGGGACTTCCATTTCAGGTGAGATTTGCACACTATTATCTTCCTTCCTTATTTTTTTTTTCTTTTTCTTTTTTTTTTTCCGTTTTGACCACGGGGTAATTTTTCATTTTTCTCTTTGGGTTGCTTTGAATCTATATAGGTCAGCTAGGTCTTTGGCTGGAAGTGATACTCCTCCAATCCAGTCTTACATAAAGCCAAAGAGCGGTCCACCTGCCCTTGAGCACCAAAGCGAGTCCTCATCTGAAGACGAAGAAGCAATCCCACCAGAATTCTACCAAAGACCAGTCAGTCAACCTCGCCTCATTCCAGGGCCTGTGAGTTAATTTGCAGAATGATTAATACTACTAGTAAATAGAAAAGTTTTTATCCAAAAATTAAGCAAATGGGTAATCATAATTTACCCTGTTCAGGCGGGATACGGGACATTTCTTGCGGCTTCTGCCTACATTCCAAGAGGAAGTAAGGCTTCCCAGCTGAACTTTGTTGGGAGGAGATTACTAGAGGTTTTTAACCGGCATCTTTACAACTTTACGTAGTTTTTTTGGGTTTCTATGCATTGATCGAAGCAGAAACTTGGGGATGGAAAATTGTTAATGAACAGGAAAAATATGAACTTCACGGCAGAGCATATGGACAATGGCTTGGATGGTTGATGGCTGCCATATACATGGGCGGACGAATTCCCCAGATTTGGTTGAACGTCAGTCTTTTACTTAATTTCTTCACAAGTCTTCTGTTTTTTTCTAATTTATATTTTTGGAACTTGCATTTATTTTTCTAACATTTTGTGTCCCTCCTCCACGCTGTTAATTGGCCAGATTAAAAGAGGAAGTGTGGAGGTAATATCTCTGCTTTGGGAAATACTTGGTGTTTCAAATACATTCAAGAATATTTATTTGGTTGTTTCTAATCGTTCTTCTGTTATGCTCTAATCTCCTTTTGGTATAGGGCTTGAATCCTCTCATGTTCCTGTTTGCACTCATTGCTAATGCTACTTACGTGGGAAGGTTGGTTCCCTCCCTTTTTCATTCTCTCATTCCTCTCTAACCTCCTCCTTCGTACAATAAGCCAAAGAAATTAGAACTAGTTCTTTAAGGACATGAATTTGAAGAAGCTAACAATCAATTAACCAATGCAGCATCCTGGTGAGAAGCACTAAACGGGAGAAGATACAACCAAACATGCCTTGGTTGCTAGATGCTGTAGTGTGCGTGGCGCTTGATCTTTTCGTATCCTACACTCTTATTTTATTTACTACTCCTACATACTCGGTCCTTTTTTTAACTGTTGCTGCTTCTTTTTTTTTTTCCGAATTTGGCCCTCTTTTCTTGGTTCATGGACATTTCAGTCGATAGATAGACCTTAATTTAACTTTGCACAGATCATCCTTCAATACATTTTCTACCGTTTTATCAAGCGGAAGAAGAGCCAGAGATCTGAAGAACACTGTGAAGACTGTGGAACCAAGCTACAAACCTAAAGCGACATCTTGGCTTAGCTTAGAAGTACTTTGGACCGTCCAATTGTCAATGCATTATTGTTGTATTCTATATATATATATATATATATATATGGTTGATTAATTGAAACTACGATAAACAAGTTGGGTTCAATCTCACCATTCCTGGTTACACCCAAGTTGATGCAGAAACCTCCTTTCCACATCCCCATTTCATCTCTAATTGACTAACCCGCTCCAGCCACGTCTAAATGCCCCGTCCACACTGACTTTGACCTACCTAGTAGGAGGTTAATTTGCTTCAGCTGCTCATCATCCGCTCCTCCTCTCTAGTGACCTTTTTCCCCACTAGAACCTCTTGAGAGACCTCGTTGCAAGTAGTCAAGCTGACACTTTGATCTTTGAATCATCTTCATTAACATTCCAAGCATTCCTCGCTTCCCATGCATGATAAACAACTCGCTGAAATGGTTACTGCCAGCATATTTCCTTATTCTTCCCCACCTCATTCTCTTTTAGGATTCCACTCTGCCAATGATAAACTAACCTTCGTTATTGACTTCCAAAATTTCGAAAAGCGGTTGAAAACACAACAAAATAACTTTTTCGAAATCATCAATTGAGAACAGGGCCTTAATCCCTACATAGGAGGGTAATACTTTGGGAATCATTAAACTATTTCAACATAGTTAACTTTTGGCCACTTATTTATTTTAAATCCTGAACTGGCTCCTCAACGATAAAAACTATCGAATGTAAACCTTCAATCCGTTTTTATCAGTTGGATCCGTTTCTTAGATCCATTAGCTTTAGTGGTGGTAATCGACTAAAGGATCAAATTTTGGCTTTTTTTTTTTTATCGATTGAAGGCATAATTTCAGATTTAAAATAATTGAGGGGCTAAAAGTTGATAATTGAAAAGCTTGTACAACAATTAGGCCGAAGCATCAAGCAATCAACCATGTGATTGGGCCCCGAATCCCTGTTTTGGGCCAACCGAATTTAAATTCATTCGTGTTCAATGATCTCCAAAGTCCATCCATGGAGAGTTGCTTATTGTCGAGGCCCTATGCCCACGCGGAGCTGTCCCCTGCAAAGGGGCAAAAAGGAGATGAGAAAGAAGAATTGGTAGGAGGAGGGTATATATATAGCAGGCGGGAAGAATCAAAAAGAAAAGAACCACACACCAAGTGTCTAATATTCGAAGCATCCAATATGAAATCTTTGCTCGACATATAAATTGATGGCTACTGCTGCGAAAACCAATTGACAACTGAAAGCAAAACTTCGATGATCCGTTGCCAATCAATTTCCAGCTTCACCCGTAGACTCCATACTCATCTTCCCCTCTGCCGCCGTCGCTCTTTTCACTCTTCTGCGACCCTCCTGAAATGGGCTTCCGGGGTAGAACCCTCCAACTTGACAACGCCCGAACTCACCAATCGGGTTTGCCGCCTTTTAGTTCTCGAACGCCATACAGACCTCAAGAACCTTTCTTTCCAATTCTCCCACGAACTCGTCGACGCTGTCCTCCAAAAACTGAAACTCAACCCCTCCGCCTGTCTTCACTTCTTCAGATTAGCTTCAAACCAGCCAAATTACAGACCCCATTTCAAGGCTTACTGTAAAATCGTTCACATTTTGTCCAAGGCCCGACTTTTTGACGAGACGAGGTCGTACTTGGATGAATTAATCGAACTCTCTAGAAATATAAGCTCGGTTTCATTTGTTTATGATGAATTAGTTCGGATTTATGGAGAATTTAAGTTCTCTCCGACGGTGTTTGATATGATTTTGAAAATTTATGCTAAAAAAGGATTGATTCAGAACGCACTGTATGTGTTTGATAATATGCCTAAGTGTGGGCGGTTACCGAGCTTACGTTCCTGCAATAGTTTGTTGAGTGGTTTGGTGAAAAATCATGACTTTCAAACTGTTTTTTGTGTATATGAGCAGATAGTTAGAATGGGGATTGTCCCGGATGTATATACGTGCAGTATAATGGTAAATGCTTATTGTAAGGATGGCAGGGTTTGCAAAGCGGTCGAGTTTTTGGAGGAAATGGAGAAAAAGATTGGGTTGGAGTTGAATTCAGTGATTTATCACAGTTTAATAAATGCGTTTGTGGAGGAGGGGGATTTGGAGAAGGCGGAAGGAGTGTTGCGGTTGATGAGTGAACGGGGGATTGTGAAAAATGTGGTGACATATACATTGTTGATTAAGGGTTATTGCAAGCAAGGGAAGGTGGAGGAAGCAGAGAATGTGTTTCGAGTGATGAAGACGGAGGAGGGTGACAAAATGGCTGTAGATGAACAGGCATATGGGGTGTTGATTGATGGCTTTTGTCAAGTAGGGAAACTGGATGATGCTATTAGGATAAAGGAGGAAATGTTGAGTTTCGGATTGAAGATGAACATGTTTACTTGTAATTCATTGATAAATGGATATTGTAAACTTGGTCAAGTTAGTGAAGCTCATGGAATAGTCAGGAGCATGAGTGACTGGAAATTAAGACCTGATTCTTATACTTACACAACCCTAATGAATGGCTACTGGCAGGCAGGTCAAACACAGCAGGCATTAATTCTCTGTGACACAATGATTCGAGATGGTGTAGAACCTACAGTTGTTACGTATAGTGTTCTTTTGAAAGGTTTGTGCCAAAGTGGTGCTATTGATGATGCTTTGCGTCTTTGGGCTTTGATGCTTAAAAGGGGTGTTACTCCTGATGAAGTTTGCTATGGTGCTCTCTTGCATGGCCTCTTTAACAAGGGAATTTCTGAGAAGGCTTTGATGCTGTGGAAGCATGTTTTAGCGCAAGGCTTTGCCAAAAGTAGGATTCTTGTAAATACAATGATCAATGGATTGTGTAAAATGGGGAAAATAATTGAAGCGGAGCAGGTGTTTGACAGGATGAAAGAACTGGGATTTTCACCTGATGAAGTAACTTATAGGACTCTCAGTGATGGTTATGCTAAAACTGGAGATATTGAAAAAGTTTTTGAAATTTTGTATGTCATGGAAAGGGAAAGAATTGCGGCTTCCACTGAAATGTTTAACTCAATTATCAGTGGACTCTTTGGGGCAGGGAAATTTAGCCAAGTGCCAGATGTTCTCACTGAGATGCAGAACAGAGGATTAAAAGCAAACATCATCACATATGGAGCCCTCATCGCAGGTTGGTTCAGAGAAGGAATGCTGAAGAAAGCTCTAGATGCTTATTTCGAGATGAGAGCTAAGGGTATAGTTCCAAACACCATAATTTGTACCACAATTATCAGTGGATTGTACAGGCTTGGTATGAGAGGTGAAGCAAGCAAGGTATTGCTGAAAGTAATGGATTTACATAGTGCCCCAAGTCTTAAATATTTTTCTGACCAGCTCATGGTAAACTCTGACGATGGATCACAAGATTTAGAGAGAATTACAACGTCAATTGACAAAAGCACCAAAAGTTCCATTATTCCCAATAACTATTTGTATAATGTAGCTATTGCAGGTTTATGTAAATACGGCAGGGTTGATAATGCTGTGGAGGTAATTAATGATATGTCTGTGAGAGGTTTTATTCCAGATGAGTTCACATACACATCCCTGATTCATGGTGTGTCATTGTCTGGTGATGTCGATAGAGCATTTCAGTTACGGGATGAGATGCTGAAAAAGGGTCTCATCCCGACTATTGCTACATATAATGCTCTTATAAATGGCCTATGTAAATCTGGAAACCTTGATCGAGCAACAAAACTTTACAGCAAGCTTTGCTTGAAAGGTCCAGCCCCAAATCTCATTTCCTATAATACTTTGATTGATGGATACTGCAAAAGTGGTAATACTTCTGAAGCTTTGAAACTCAAAGAGACAATGATAGAAGAAGGGATTTCTCCTTCAGCCATTACCTACTCAACTTTGATCTATGGTCTACAAGCACAAGGTGATTCAGAAGAATCTGAGAAGCTCTTGGATCAAATGTTGGAGGCAGGTCTGGATCCAAGGTTTTCAAAATATGGCAGATTGGTCCAAGGTATACTTATTTAAATCACCTAAAGCTTCGGTAAACTTGAAGAGATTCAGTTCCTGATTTTTATCCTTAGTTTAGGTGCAGCCCTCCTTGTTTCCTTGTAGATTTCTTTGGTGCTTACATATTGTTATTTTTATTTTGCAGCAAAAGTTGCGTCAAGGGGTTAAGTTTTGGATGATGAAGCTATCTAGCATCTATGGCAGCGTGCTCATTTTCTGAAATAAAGTAAGGTAATTATCTGCTTGTACTCTCGATTTTGGTTTCCATCATTCAGTGGGAAGACCACCCATGTAACACACTTCGAATCAAAGCCTTCTATAACATTACTTATTCATACCTTTTTGCTTCTTTCTTTTCTCCTTACTTCACAAGTTGAGGGTCCATGTGGTCTGAAATGATTAACTAGTAAAGATCATACATAAAATTGTTAATTTCTTGGTTTTTCCTTCAATTAACAATTTGCTAATGGTAGAGGGCAATCCTCGTTCTTCCTGCTGTTTTTAAAGGGGATTGCTATTGCTGTTGCTGTGGTCATCTGATCAAGAAGTTCAGTCATACAGTTCACTCCTGTAGGCTATTTGAGGTAATTTGGGCTTCTTTTTCCTACTCGTATTTCTATCATAGTCTTGTCTGTAAGACCAAAATCATTTTCAAAAATCTTACTTGACATGGAATTTTTTAAACCTCTTTGCGGGTTCTTTTGGTTGCTTGTCCACCAACAAAATTCTTGTGTACTTATTATGTTTTGTATCTGTCACATCCTGTTGAACCTCATACTTTTAGGTAGTGTTTTGGATATTGAATTATTATGTGTCATATTTGATGCAAATGCAGTTATTGACATCTATACTATCACATTAGTATCTGCCTCAGTTTCTCAAATTGCTAACATTCCTGTTTGGTCCTCAATTTCCATGTCTGTGCAGCTCACTATTCTTTTGTGGAGTGCTGAGGTTCAGTTTTGACTTCAAAGCATGTATTTGAAGTAAGATAGTTATAAGGGGGGAAAAAAGGAAGATGGAATGAAAGCTTCCATACATGGCTATGTGCCCCATTCAAAGGCATTATACACTAAGGTCAAAAGCACTTCATAGTGACATCTTTACTTCCTTACTAAGATGCAATGGTTATGCTGTTGAGCTAAAGTTTTCAAATGATGTTGCCTTGCTTTCAGTTAGGCCTCCTCAGGTTACATGCTTAGCAGATAGCCCGTCTCCATCAGTGACGTGTGTTTGATGATCTCAGAAAAAGCGCCTTTCTTGGATGAGATGATCATTCTGCAAGAGCTTGAGAAAGGGTTCGATTTGAGATAGATATTGAGTGTGTTTGGATTGTAAGTTATTTGAAATATTTTTACTGTAGCACTTTTTGTGATGTGATGTATGTGAGATAAAAAGGTAATTGGAAAGATAAAAAGGTGTATTGAAAATTGTAATGGTGATGTCAGCAAATATATTTGGCCAAATAATTGGCTGTCCAAACACACTCATTGTCTCGCTACACACACTTGCAGCCATTTTTCCTAATATCAAACTTAACAATGGCAATTAGGACCTTCAGGTTTGTTCTCCTAATACAGTTACAACAGTCTGTTTAGTTCCTCTTTCAGCCATATTGTCCCATTCCTGTGTTTGATCTAGCCTTTGAAAAAATCAATCTTTAATTCCATTTTATTGGTTTAAAGGTAAGTGTTTTAGTCGGATGTTTAATCAAATCTTTTGCTCACATTTTGTTGATTTAAACAGAAGTGTTTCTACTGTGATTGTTCTGGGGATCCTTGCACGTTTGGATGAGAGAAATCGATCTGCCCTGCCATAAATTGCAGATGAAACTTCCCATGGTCCTAAACTACTTACTAGTCTTAGTTTGGTTAACTGCCCACGCCATGAAGCAGCAGCATTATCACCAAGTGCTTCAGGAAGGTAAAAATTACGGGTTACAAACAGGTTGAAGTCTGGTTTTACCGTGTGTGGATTTGTCCAAGATATTTTACTGTGGGGGTATCCACCCAATTTTCATCGTTTACATTGGAAGTGTTTAGTTTAGGTTACTCGTACTTTGTCAAAGAAAAATATTTTATAAGCTAGTTTCATTGCGCATTTGACAAACTGAAAAGTGTTCTATTGCCTATTCGATCTCAGGACCCTACTGAGCTTGCATTAGACTGAACTTGGCTCTATTAAGTTTGATTTGATTGATTCTTATCCTCTTTCTTATACTACTAATCTCTTATTTGTTTGTATTTACTTGCTCCGTTCTATGACTTGGCTAATGCTTCTCTAAAAACTCAGTGCAATCAAATTGGCCGATCTTCCAGACAAAAGAAAAGGACGTATTCCATAGTCGGGCTTCCTCCATCTGTTGGCTAATTCTACCCAAAATCATTATTACACACAAATCAGCTTTTTGGTTGACCGTGTTCTCACGTATCATAGCTTAGGCTTCTCGAAGCCAAGTTTCTTTCTATATCTTAGATGGTCTATTATCCAGACGTGTTGGTTGACTTTCACTTTTCCTTGAAATGTTCAGGGCCTCGCTGCGCTGAGATTTCCAAGCAAACGAGTGCCGAACTCTCAAAAACTTCCCGTCATGGAGTCGGAAGCATGCATGAATCAGCTCCAAACAAAACCCGGAACAAGAATAGTTGTTTTTCGGGTGTTTTCAAAAATTTCTGAAATGTTTTTTCAAAGAATCCCTCCAAACAGCATTGTGCAATTTCATCTGTTTCAAGGCATTCATATCCCTTCGTTTCTACTTTCTAGGCATACATTATCAGAACTATATCATCGAATTGTACGGGCATTTTAAAATTTACATGTTCAACTCTGTTCTGGTTTTCTTTACCTCCAAAAAAAAAAAAAAAAAAAAAAAAAGAAATACGAAACAGACTAATCTGCCTTTTGTTTTAAGAAATTGTTTTCTCAAGTTACTTTTCAGGTTTTGGAATTCAGCTTTTAGACGTCCGACAGAAGCATCCTCGGAAAAGAACTCAAAAAGGTTGTTGGGATTAGAAAAATGGGAACTTATGCGTTTAAGCGCGTATAATTAGCCAGTGGTTTGATCAGTATATGGAATTAATTAAAACCTTTCCTTTTTTTAAGTCTTTTAATATGAATACGAGTAAAACCTATAATGGTAGAATCAGTACGTACAAATCACAACTCCAGTTCATTACAAGTAATAGAGGAAAATTAAGAGATAAAAAATAATCATGACTGTCCAGAAAACTAGTCCAGTGATTAAGGTTGAAACCTTAAGATTTAGAGATTTTGTATGACAAATTGAGATTTAGAGATTTTGAATTTAAGTCTCTCTTCTTCCTCATTGCTTCTTAAGAAGCTGCCACCCTTTCCTTGTTGAAAATTTTTTTTTTAAAAAAAAAAAAAAAGAAAAAAGAAAAGCAATCGTGGTCCTATCTTTAATTTAAATGGTGGATAAATGACTTGAAAGCAACTATTTAGGAAAAATCAACACACATAATTTGTTTTTTCTTGCAGACGAAATTTCCCTGGTGCAAGAATTTCAAGGAAAAGACGCTTTTAGATTGCTGCGGGGCGGACCACAAGAATTTGTGAGAAGACCTTTGCAATTTATTTACTCTCATTCTTTATTAGCAATTTGACAAGGCAAACCAAACCTGGCCCTATACTACGCCTCTGCTCGAGGACATTGTAAAATCTTCCATTTGATGACTTCTCTAGATTATTTTTTTTGTTTTACTTACTTAAGCTTCAGCCGACAGCATATTAAGACTTACACATGTTAATCACCCTGACAATTAACTAAGTCAACAGAATTTCTGGCAGTATTATTTATTTAAAATCTATAAGGAAAGTACCTTGGAAAGACGCGGCCGAGTAACTTATTTACTACTCCCTCCGTCCCACTTTGATAGTCCTGTTTTCTTTTTTTGTCTGTCCCAAATTGCAGTCCACTTTCCAATTGAAGAATGTAGTTGTATTTTCATTTTCCTAAAATACCCTTATTCAATACAAGTTGTTGTTGCTATAAACCTACCCCATTTAATGAGTTGATTCTTTTTTTACCATCAATTCAAGTTTCTATAAAGTTGTACTCTATTTAATGTGAGGGTATTTTAGGAAAATAGCAATTTAAATTTATTTTTCCAACAAAGTTAACTACTTTTTCTTAAACTGTGTGAAAAAAGAAACAAGACTATCAAAGTGGGACGGAGGGAGTAGTAGTTTCTTTGTAAGTTAAAGCCATCCCACTAGTGGTCGTTTGGAAAGCCTTTTTTTTTTTGTTTTAAAAAAAATTTTACTTTTTTTATGAATATATTTTTTAATCAAAATTTTATCCCTCATACATCAAATCAATACAATATATTATTCGACAAAAACTCCAGGAAATAGCAAAATGGAAAAGAAAAACATAAAACGGAAATTGTTGGAGTGACAGAGATTTTAACCTAAGCCTACTTGAAGAGATCTAGCTAATGGGGTTCCTTTTTTTTTTTTTTATTAAATTTTGACTAGTAGATCTTGTGTTGGAGTCAAAACGGCATTCGTAAGTCATCCCTAATTAATTGCAAGAAGTATGTTAATTAATTTTGAAGTGTCCAACGGATTAAAAAATAAAAAGAACATGGAAAGAAATTCGAGGAACGTGTATGAGTTTACTTTCACATTCATAGATTTGGAAGGGCGTGCGCTTCTGTAGCTTTTGGTTTGAATATACAACAGAATGTACAAGCAAAAGTTTCTCGGCAACAAAGAAGTACACAGTTTACAACAGAGTTAGAGATGCATTTGGGGAAAAAATAAAAATTACCAGTTAATCAAAATATCTACTCAATTAAGGAGAGTAGATTGAGTTAATGTCCAGTTGAGATCTATGTATACTGAAAAATGTTTTTAGAGCTCTTATGTTACTGAACTACTTTCAGTGCTTTTAGAAATCACATAGCTAACCACGGTTTTTTTTTTTTTTTTTTTGATAAATGAGAGATTTTAAATTCAAGATTTTCTAATTACAATCCCTCCCCCTCCGACCTCACCCTCCAACCCTTCCCCCACATAGCTAGCTAACCAAGATGTTTTATTTCACACTACTTTGTAATTGTATGCGCATCCTTGAGAGAAACGCACCAGATTTCAAAAGAGGATTTTATGTTACTTCGTAATTATATATACATTCCTTGGGTGACAGGCACCGGATCTCATATCTCAGAAATGCACTTGATTTTGTCATAAATATAATATACCTGGTATTTCATCATTCCTTCAAGTTTGGAGTAAAAGCAAAAGTAAAAATGGTGGATTTGGAGCAACAGCTTAGATCCCATTGTGTAAGGCGTTTTGTTTTCAAAGTCAGTCGAAATGATGACAAGAAAATCTTGGGAGGCAAATTAAAATCTTGAAAGGTAGCACAACATCAACATCATGAGCTTGGCCACAGTAAGTTCAGGTGTAAGGAACTTGAAAATTAAGTACGTATTATGCTAATAATGAATCATTCTAATTACAATAAGCTTGGTTGTTGCTTCCCAAAAAAAAAAAATTAAAAACAAAGGGAAAAAGAACCTGGCTGACTGTATCTAGTTGTCTCAAGAATGAATGAACGAAGAAAGAGCTTGCAAAGCAAAAGCTAAAAAGGAGCTGATGATAAGAATCACTGGACGAAGCATTTGAATTATGTGTGTCTCGGAAAAAAAAAAAAAGGCCTTTTGGCTTTTTAGTGTGACTTCTTCATTGATTTGACCATTATTTACCACCTACTAACACTACTTTGTGTGTGTATTATTCGACGCATGTTTTGTTTTAGATTTTACGTATATAAAAAGTTACTACAAAAGTTGGCAAACAAAACCCTTTTTCTTTTGTTTCTGTTTTTTTCTTTCTTCATTTACGTTTTCCTTCTGTAGAATTACTGCTGACTGTATGCATGAAGGGGGTCAGTTACGCTACATTTATACACAAGCAAGGTGGTGAAAGTAAAACTGGAAGAGAATTTTTATCATACAAATCCTGAACACATTACTGATAGAAACTGCTGACTAGAACTCTTATTTGTCAGTCAGTAGTAAATAGTAATTCGTTTTTTTAGGGATAAATATACTGAATTTTATTCTAACCCAACTAAAGAAGAAAGTAATCACAGAGTTACTAAAAATTATTCAAACGTAAGGCAGAGGGAGAAGAGAAAATCACCCAAAGGACGTTTCATCGTGTCATTTACCAACAAACGTTTAAATGTAATAATAATAATTAGTTGTCAATACAAGTTTCTCTTTGGATGGGAGTGTTTTTCAAAAACAATAAAAATTTTAAAAAAATACTCTAAAAGGTAATTTAAAAATTATTTTAAATTTTTAAAAAATATCTCAAAATATATTCTAAAAATCCTTCTACTTTTAAATATTTTCTAAAAATATCCCAAAATAAAATCTTAAAACTCTGCTACAACAAAATCTCCCTAAAAAACAGCTAATTCAGACGAATAATAGGAAAATTCTCAAGGAAGGTCCTTAAAACAGCTCCATCTTACCAAAATTATGTAGCTGCATGTCCAAAATTATAGTACAACTACTCTATTACTATAATTTATACCTCCGAATTTTCCGGATGCAAAACCAGCCAGATGATAAGCTCGAAGGCTTATACAACCAAACGACGAAAAGACTTCTACCCAGATTCATTGCCTGCGGTCCGGCAATGAACTCCGTGTGGGGAATAGAACCGACAGGGCCCCAGCACCAATGACTTTCCTTAAAGCACTGCAAACATGAATATTTATGGATCGGACGACTGTATACGATAATCATTTGTCTGTACAGTATCAATTGCATTTGTTATTTTAGGTGCACAGGAGAAGAAGTAAGTGGGTGTAAATTTTAAAACGTCGAGAGATTTCACTCTCAGTGAAATGGTCAAAACCTCAGGAAAGGTAATTAATGTTGGTCACTGGGAATTCGAAGAGGGCATGGATCCTTCTTTGCTCCTTCCTCGCGCCACCGACAGGCTCCTGGCGGTCGCGTTTTTCCCTCGTTTTGGACACTACAGCTCCTATGAGTATGCATCGCTTTCCCATTTGGTGTACGGTAGCCGATTTTCTGGACAGAGGCGGAGTCAATCAATCCGAATGGACAATTCGTTCGGTGTACTATCAAACTAGGTGGACGTGTGGAAGTAGCAATTAAGATGACTTTGAAATTGTTACGCAACTCATTTTTGTACCATCAAATTTAATGCACTACAACTAGTCTATCATTTGCTTATTTTGTCTTGGAATGAAAAATGTCATGGAGCTAGTCAGTCTAGTTGTGTTTATTTTGCCTAATAAGTAGAATGTACTAATTGTTTTGATTATTTTCGTTTCCATATTTATCAGATTTCCAAGGTGTTGCCAATCTTTGAAAATCCAGCGTACCTTTGTGTTTGGATAGGAGATTATTTGGGATACTTAAAAAAAAAAAAAAAATAGTGTAGCACTTTTTTTAATATAATGTATATGAAAATAAAAAAATAATTAAAAAATATGTTGATGATGCAATTAAATTAATATATGTAAATAAGGTACGATCCAAACACAAAACTGTAACAATAATGCATCTAGACTAGTGGATGGAAGTTGAATAGTCGATGTGCAATATTTAGACTAGCGTATGGCCTTCCTCATCGAATAAAATGAATTACTAATTATGCTAAAAAGGAAGAGATGTAGGCTTTTATTCCCGTGGAAATACAAGAGATCTACAAGATTGGCTCAAAGGCAAACAAATAATTGAATAGGGTTTTTCTTTTTCTTTTTTTTTTTTTATTGAGATG